TGGGGCCCTCGGCAGGAGAATGAGGAGGGCGCGGCCCCGGCCAGCGGCAGGCCCTGGGCGCCGGTGCCGCCTCCGGTGAACTGTCCCCCGCCTGAAGATCCCCTTTGGCAAGCGAGGAAGGAAATGAGGACACGCGTGGGCCCGTGCAGGCGCGCGTTCCCTCCCGTGGGGAGGAAACGGCTCCACCGCAGCTGCCCCCGGTTTGACACCGCTGTGGACGGAGGGGCGTGGCTGGCGTTAATCACTGTTTCTACAGCGTTTTCCACTGCAAAAGGTTTTAAACAGTGAAAAATAACTAGCTGCGCTGTACACTTCACAGCAGCAGAGGAAAAGGAAATTATGCAGGTTAAACTGTGTTTTAAAGACCATATAGGTTAACTGGTTCGTGCCCCGGATGCAAGCTCAGCCTGGAGCTGTGGCAGGGCTTTGGCACTTGTAGTACGTCACACTGGGAAAAAAATCCATAAAATGGAGTAAGAAAATAAACAGGATGGCTGTGGTGCAATACTGACAGAAGGTGGGCTGTGTATTTCCAGACTGGAAGCATACTCCAGCACAAAGTTACCTTCCACTTCATTTATTAATGAGAAAAAAAAAAGGTTAAAGCAGCTACTGCAGTTTAAGCCGTTGTACATAAATGCACATTAAGTGTTGGGGAAACGGTCCCGCACTGAGCAGCCACCCACCACCCTCCCCATCCATTGCATCGCCCCATGTTTGTCCCATGTTACCCAAGGACACTTGGATCCTCGGCCCCACAGAACATGTTGCCCAAGGTAACGGCTCACAGAGCCAATTCTGGAGGCTTTTCCCTCGTCTAGCTGCCCACGGCGTAACCAGCCCATCACAACATGCATAAGTTAGGGGTACATGGGCCATGTTCCAAGTTTTACTTGCTAGAAATTTGTTATTTTTACAAGCTACGACTTCTCAGTTACATCACATAAGGCTGTATGGTAGGCTCCGCTGATTTCTGATTACAGGCGCGGCACATGCATTTTTTCCAGTAAGAGAGTGTTTGAGAGCTGGAAACAGTCCTGTTTCAGTGGGCTAGGATGTTGTTCCTGTAATAAATGTTTCCATTGCAATCTTACACGCTGCTTGAAAAAGATTATTCTGAAAAAGCGTGGATCATTTGGTTACAATCCTGCAAACCGCATAAATATGGCACCAGGATTTCACAGTGCTCAACTACCCTCCCCAACTCCCAATTTCTTGTTTGGAAGAAAAGCTATCAGCGTGGTGCTCTGCGCAGAGCCAGCTAAGCTGTCCGCCCTCTCAGGCACCGGCTCTCCCCCTTCCTGAGGGAGTGGCTGGAAACGGACCCTCTGCGGGCCGGGACACTCGGGAAAGACAGCACGAGGGTGCCCTAACCGTGCCCCGCTAAGGAGAACGGCGAGGCGGCCCCGGCGTTCGGTAAAGGCGGTGCCTACCCTGC